GGCCATTGGCATTACCTGCTAGTTGTATGCCTATTCCTTGGCAGTTGAATTGCCATAATACAAAACGCGAACTTGGACGAGATGACGAACGGGAAAGAGGGAGCCCTGCTCGGCTCGGATTTTGGTATCAGCCGGCAGGATGGATTTTGGTAGCAGTCGGCAGGATGGATTTGGTAGCAGTCGGCAGGATGGATTTTGGTAGCAGTCGGTAGGATGGATTTGGTAGCAGGCAGCTGTGGCATCCTTAGCCGAGTCCACGACGACCGCTGACTTGCTAACGACGCTTCATCGTGGCGAATGCTTACAATTTGGAAGTTGCCGTCTGGGCATGGTGCTCTGAATTCATCCCAGGGAATATGAGTGCAACGAGAGACTTTTTTCGGATGTAATTTGCTTGTCCGCGTCTCATGGAGACAAAGGGGCATGATGCGCGAATTTCTCGGGTTGACAGCGTTCGTGCTGAGCTGCCCATTAGAAGGAAAGTGTTCGCATTTCCAGGGAGTCTTCCCTGCAATCGCGACGCCTTGTAATGAAGTATAGCGTATTTCCGGTGACGTTTGTGAAAATAGGATGAAGTTCCAGCATCCCTAACCATGTCGAAGATAACGTAAGATGAAGAGTGCTATATGGTCATTTGTCTTTTTTTTTTCTGCCTCACTCAAAGAACATTTGACCCGCGCGAAGATGTCTCGTGACAAATACTTTCAATTGGAGAATGCGATATTGTGACTATCGAGGCCATTCAGGCCTGATAAGATTCCAGTAGCATCATGGAAGTAAAGAACTTGGAAAGTAACCTACGCCTGTGTTAGTACATTTTGAACCGTATCAGATAAACTCACGATCGACGGGATGCGATAAAGCGCGCATGCCATGCAGCGCTGAATGCACGGTGGTCGAGATCGTCCAGCACCATCTTTCCTGCTGCCTGCATTTGGATACGATCAACTGGGGGATCATCCAAAATCTATCCACTGAAATCTATATATTCGAAATGTCGTTCGGGCCGCAGCGTCGACTGGCCAAATGACTGATTTTCCGAATGACTGGTTCTCCGAACGTCCATTCCGCGACGACACCAAATCCCTGAATGGACGGGTCGCCGAGTCCTCTTCGATTTCACCGACGCGCAAGGAGCAATTGGCCAAGGAGAGCAGAGCAAGTGGCAAGGATATCCTGCTTCATTAGTAATTCTTCATTAGATTTATTCGTCAGTAAGGAGACATTCCCCCCCCTCACCCTCCCCCGTCCCCCCCTCACCCCCCCCGTCCCCCCCTCACCCTTCCCCCCCCCTCACCCCCCTCATTCCCTCCCTCCCCCAATCACATCGATCGTGGAAGCCTGTGGGTCTCGTATTTGCTGGATCCGCCCTGCCTCATTAAAATTGCATTGATAGTGACGACATGGGGGAATCATGAGGAGACTTTTCACGAGGAGACCTGTCAATAGGGGACCTGTCGCGAGGAGACCTGTCACGAGGGGATCTTTCACGCTTTAAAGTCAGTCTAACTCACATGAATTAATTTCCGCGCCTTTCCTACTGCAATAAATTGCAATACGTGTACCGAATGAAGTTTCATTGGGCGATTTGTTCTAACCGTATCAATTTATCTAGGCAGGCAACGTAAATTCTCGCAGGGGAATTGTTTCCCTGGGAGATTGATATCTATTGACGATATAGTGATTATTAACCCATTCCCGTTACATTTCCACCTCAATCCACTACAAGAGTATCTGGAAAAGGCAACAGGGAATTCCTATTTATTTCTCAGCATAATCATTCGGATGAATTTAAAGTTCCATCTCCGCCGGGTTGCGGGGAAAACATGTTCTCGTACTCAGCGTGTGTCAATTTCATCAATCTTTTCTCCCCCCCCCCCCAGCCACCGCTCAATAACGCTGGCCAAAATAAAAATGCAAGCATCCACACGCAAAAACATTTTCATAGTATCATTTTTTGATCGGAATTGACTCCTTAAAGCCACTTGGGGTGAACCTAGTGAGTGAAGAATTTTTGAAAAACCAAAGTTCTCTTTCCCATTCCGGGTGCATATTTGGATTATGCTGTTGAGTTGGATTAGTCTTCTAAAGTAGCACATTCGTTCAAAAACTCTGGAGTCGTCCAATGGAAACACGAGCAGTTCGAACAACCAGGAACGGCAGGGAAAAATTGCCAAAAATTTTTTTTTTTTTGGTGAAATCAATGATGAATATAGTGTATGATGCTGCATATGAAAGAGTTCAAATCGTAGAGAAAGGCTGAAAGTGCAAGAGCCTTTCCCTTTCGAATCTAGGAGTAAATGTAATTGGAAAAAGCCAAATCGAATCCAGCACTTTGCACGTTCTTCAAGGGTGGGCGAATGTAGACGGGTACAGTTCCAGAGTTGGTTCCATGATGGAATTCATTCGACTTCGTGCCCCATCGCTCCGATTCCAGAGTATCGTTCCCTATCAAGAAGAAGGGGTATTCGAATTCGAGAATGTATTGCGGACGTACGATCCGCAGATTAACTTACACGTGATGACTGCCAGTTGCTTCGATCCCATCTTGTCAGGCTGGGGCTTCCTCCAACCATAGATGATGAGGTCCAGCATCCATTCCAGCACTTCCAGGACGGAGACGAAGGACAAACCGGTGTAGAGACCCAGCAATCCCCCCAACGTGCCGATGAAGCTCGTCCACTGCTCGTGAAGAAAGTTTCACTTGTTACCCATCCACTGCAGTTACAGAGTTTTGGAAGTTCAGGCCTCCAAAAAAGCGTAGCACTCAACAGTGAACAAGGGTGTTTCCACGACTCGCTCCGTCGTCATCGTTTCGTAGTAGATGTTCACCACAGCGAGGTTCTCTTTGTCTCTGAGGATAGAATTCGAAAATTTCGCTGGTTCAACGGCACCTGAGGTGACTTGAAAACTTGAAGCGGAAATGTAAGACTCATTGAGGAAGGCCAATGGAATTAACGTAGTTATAGACGTTGGAAAACGTAGAATACATGGTATCTCGGCAGTAGGTCACGTGTCTCAGCTCGTTCGTGTCGGAAGTTCTCTTGTTCTCGTTTCTCAACCAATCGATGAGATCCATGAGCTCAGCGTTTTCCCAAATCATCGGCGTCGTCGACAACGACCAGTCGAACATCTCCTCTCTAAAGCAGAAGAACCCGCGGTCTCGCTCCACCATCCTTTGGGACGTGGACACAAAACTCGGATTGAGACTCACGTGCAGGGCTGAGGGCAACCGCAGGAACTCCCGTTTTGAGCTTCGTCGTTCATCTCCCAAATTGCCAATGCTTTCGTGACCACTTTTCAATAGAGAGCATTCACAATTTTCAAATAATGAGTTGCTGCCTTTTGTTATTTAGTCGTATAGTATCGTTCGGGATCATCGCGTATCACGGTGTTTCTGAAACACTACAATAGCATACATAAAAATCTGATCACGAGTCAATGTTCTCACCTGACTTATTGCAATATTCTGATTTGTCAACTGTTTCTTGCAGAAGGGGAGACTTCCGGTAGCACTGGGATTCCTTTCCATCACGAATGGCCTGAAGTTTGCACAGCTTCTGACACAGCTGCATCATGCAGAAATGGAAATAGATTGGAATCAGTTGGAGTAAGGAAAAACGCAAACTTTGTAGTAAACTTTGCAAAGTAACAAAGCTAAATTGAAATTTTGAGAAATACGATGTTTACAATAAGCATGTAATTTCAGTCGAGTCTCTTGTATTGTTTTTTTTTTTCATGTCCTGTTCATTAATAGGGACTTCCTTTAAGGAAAGACGTTTGTAGTTTGCAGTGTATCGTATCCGTCTTAAGAAATATTGTCCACCACGCTAATTTGTAATATATATATTTCTTTCAGATGAATTGAATTTTTAATTGGAGAATGTGCCTTTTCCCGTAATCTCTCTAAAATGAAGCAAAAAGTCAGAAGACTTAAGGGCGAAGATCTGTTCCCTGGGACAATGCCTCATAGGTTTGGCATTAGCATGCCGGGAAAACAGTGTGATTTTCCCTAAATTTTAGCTGAGAGAATTAACAGCTAAAATATTTCATGTTTAAACACATTATGACAATCTCGTGCATGGTATGAAACCCCATGGCATCCTATCAAGAAGACGGTGGAGTAGCGGATATTTTCTATGATGGAAAACGTGGGAATTTGAATCTTGAAATCAAGTTTCAGATTCCTTTGAGATAAAAGAAATTCAATGGGATAGTTATGATTTTATTTGTGAGAGTTTCCCTTTTTTTAAAGGTGAACCCCTAAGATTTTTTATGCATGAAAATCTTATTGGAATCCGATTGGAATCTGATGAGATTTCCATGTTTCGAAAATTGTCTTTGATTTTTCCCATAATGCATCAAATCCTACTCAAAAAAACGTGAAAATGTCCGATTTCATTATAAATGGAAAAATAAATACATTCACCTGGAAGGAATACTTGGTTCCATTTCCAATATTGTAAATACTGTTGTTGAATCGGTCTTCGAGGTAGGAATCGTAGGCGCAATCCCCCCCATCCTCGGGACGAAGCCGTTCGAATTTCCTCTTCTTCATGCCGATGTAGGAATTCATGTCCATGCCGACGTCAATTCCCTCTCCGAGGGGATCGGGTTCGGCCTTGTGATGGTGAAGGGTGACCCGGAACCCTTTGGCTGGTGCGAGGAGATTCATTTGGTTTGAGGCGTTCCAGGTCAATCTCAGTTGGAGCCCTTCCTGCTTGATTCGGGTGCCCGGGAAGTCATTAAGCATGCGAATCGCTGAAGGTCTTACGGTTATGAGAATCTCACCGTAGAGCCAGAACGGCGCACAACTTTATTTCCGTTGTAGTTGTAGGTCAGGCAGTTTCCGTAGTCTGAGTCGTTGATGACCTTGAAGTCGCTGGAAGTGTGACAAATTTCCAACAGTATTCTAGAGGTGTCTTTTAGCAGGAAGTTGCATATTCGCAAAGTTTTAAGTGATTACATGAACCCGCTTTTTCCCCCCTTCTTCGTGTCAAATCGAATGCTTTTATTTCGCAAAAAAATACTTTCAAACCGGAGTCAGAAGCTTTTCGCATGATGAACCCAGGTGGATTCATATTTGTGCTGGGAAACGTTCGATGATCCTTGTTCAACCCAATGAGTATGCTTCAAAATGGGAAAGGTCTGCCCTGAGGGTGGTCATTACGTACAGACTACGTGACATGTGACAAAAATGTGACATAAATATATCCAAAAGAAGCTGTATATGCGCATACTTCATGTCGCAAGGGGCATCATTGAAAGTGCAACGATGTATCGACTCCAAGATGTTGCCAGCAGCATCTTCCAAACTCAAGTATCTCCGGAAGTCTCTCAACGTGTAGGAGCTGGTGAAAAGCAACAAGTTGAGGAAGTCGTCCGCCTTAATGGTTTTGTTGCCGATGGTTATTTCCCCATCTACAGAGAAGAGAAGATATTAAGTCCTTTCAGGAATTTCTGCCTGGATTAGAGGAAATGGGTTTAGCCATTGCTCTACTAGGTCGTCTGAAAAAAGATCTATACATACTTTCCGGTTCGTATTCGTAGTCGGATTCCTCTCTGACGAAGATCCAGTTTTCCCAGATATCGGTCTCATCAAAGGACGTAGACGAGGTGTCGATCGGCGGCGTCGTCGGGGTACCTGACGATATCGTTGGAGAGATAGCTGAGGAAGTACTGAGACTTCCGGCAGTGGTAGGCGGTGATGTTGCTGAGATTGGTTCTGCGGAATCGAGAGAAATACCTTGGATTGATAATGGACTTGGAGAACTTAGTGGAAGAGAAATTCATTGGTCCCCCAGAAGTCTGTGATTGATCTCGAAAGAGTTAGTGAATTGAGACAGGCAATTGAAGGAGAGAATTTCTGCTAAGAAGACGGAGTTTTGCGTCGAAAGAAGAATCCATGCTCGTTATTACTACAGGTGGGTCTGGAGGAAAGTCTTCCTCTCACCAACCACCCTCTCCTTAATTAAGAAACGAAGGGCCACTAGACGTAAATTCCACCTAACTAAAGCTCCTTGCCTTAAGAAAGCAATTCTTGATCTCAACAGGGAAATCTCTTTCCAA